ACTAAACCTAACAAGACACGTCTTCACCTTTCACTGTACGCCCACATCCCTCGACAATTAGACACATCCCTCCTCAATTAGACACAGCACTTGTAGATCTCAGCAAAAAGTTAAATGAATGTTCTCACCACCCGCATAAGAAACAACCTTCATCGATATCAAGCAACTATTAATAGTAATTCTTGTTGTTACTGCGAGAGCAAATCTTGAATTAATAATTATGTAAATAAGCCTCGTCAGTCTGCGCAAACCAAGTGTACAAGAAAACGTAAATAATATAAGAGGAATCTAAGGCTTCTAAGCGTGACTTCACAAAGATGGCCACCATCACCAAGATTTGAAATTTAGGTGGCATTGATAGTATTGATAAGTGCCGAACCAGCAAACATTTAATACAATGTTAAAGAATATATCTCATCCTGTAGATTACAGTGTGAGGAACCTCTCCTTCAGGCCTTTGGCCTCAATTTGTTTTAGTTTTTAAGTCCCGATAACGCTTCGTTTAGGAGTTATTTAAATATATATATATATATATATATATATATATATATATATATATATATATATATATATATATATAGCTGACTGAATGTTGTGGGTTGCATTTGACATGAACATTTAATTGCATTTTTTAAACAAATCCTTCATATCTTTAAAGTCAAAGTGCAATTCGTCACATCTCCGTGAAATTCTCTTTCTTTAGAGTCCTCCTTGAAATATCGGTTGCGTGTGAGAGCCGCAAAAGGTATGAATACAACTGAAATAATATTGGAGACGTTCTTGGAATAAGGTCATGTAAAATTTTTGAAAATATGAGCAGTTTTCGCGTATTTTGGGTGAATTATAAACAATTAAAACTTTTTGTAATACAATTATTTTCTCGAAAACGGCTCCAATACTTTTCTTTAAATTTTCTCGTATGTATCAAAGGACAGTAAAAAATTGATGCTAGTCTCACTTCGGGGGAGCTCTCTGTATTGCAAATTACAATTGGAATTAAAAAATGTTAACAAGTCGTTTTCGCGTAATTTCTTCTTGAAAATAATGCAATGCATAAAAACAGATTTTCTCAAAAAACACTCACAATTTTTTCTTTATCTTTTTCACACGTATAAGAGAACGGCGCTTAAGAGAATGATGCATGTCTTATTTTCGTTGATGTCTGTAAATATTTGAAAATTTGCAAAATTAGAAAAAATGCGAGAACGTATGTGCTGTTGAAGCACTACTTGTTTCTTGTTCAACTGTTACAATAGTTTGCGTTTTTAGTTATGTATGTGTGATCATTAGTAGGAAAATATATTCTTAGTTTCACTTTTGAGCCAGAATTCATGACTATGGGATGAGTAATCGTATTACTAAAAATACTAGTACATTTTTTAAGGAATGAGTGTGGAAAGAAATATTTTCTTAGATAAACTGTAAAGTTTGAAAACATGTAAGATCGATAACTATATTTAGAAACCTACCTCAAGAATGTCACTTTCACTCCTCTTCCTAAGAATGTGAAAACGACTGCGATCAGATCGTTTATTATTTTGATAAAATTATGATTATATAATATAGATAAAGATAAATTTTAATTAAAATAAACATTATTTACTTCTTTATATTATTATAATTTTTATAGGGAAGGAATATTGGAAGAGTTAACTTCAGGAATAATTTGTGGGACAATGGACATTGGAGAAGTGTTGCATTTGTAATCAAAACAAAAGCACAGATGTGCGTCTATCTCGATAGGACAATGAGATAGAATAGACTACATAGAGTGGCTGTTCCTATACTATTAGAGCTCTTACTATTTGAGTGGCGGTGTAACCTGGCTGTTACCATCCGTAACCAGCGCCATACGTAATGCTAGAATACTTTGTTTCGCAGAGAGCGCAGCTGTGTCTACAAAAAACGGCTTCAATTTGTTTCAAAGATGGGGGCGCATCAGCCACTCTATGTAGTATATTCTAGCTTGTTGCGGATAGAAGGAAATATAGCAAGTAAACTGCAATGGAATTTCATTGACTTTTTATTTTTCTATTGCAAATTTATAATTTACAATTTAAAAGACTAGATTTTTAAATTATTGAAATACATCGCATTGCGAATAATACTTATTTTTTATAAACCGACCCATAACCTAGAATAGAGAAAAGAAGTACAGACAGACGTTAGCAGGTTATATTACAAGGGAATGAATGAATTCGACATACAATATAGTATACAAGTCGCAGGCAAGGGTGTTCATATTGTTGTGTCACATAGTGTCTAGCAAGTTTTATGTTTTATTGTGTTTGTTTTTATAATTAGGAAATATTTTGTTAAAAAAGCAATAAATAAGTTTATTTGAATGAAGGAACAAGAACATTATCACACAAATTCTACGACAATCAGCTTCCCTAATCCGTGAATTTTTGAATGTACTACTTTATCACCACAGCGGCGTGTGAAATATCTGTGCGCATCGATTCAGGAATTTTGTTTAAGTTTCCACTGCATCCCGTATTCTTCAGTTCAACTGACGCCTTTTCTATCATCAAAATTCAATCGAGAGTCAGCTCAGAATAATTTTAACAATATACAGATTTGCAAATATCACAGTTGTGATTTCAATAACAATTCTAAGGTTAACTTGGGATGCATCTACAACGAGATCATTAACAAGTTTGTGCGAAGAACGAAGTCTTGATCCACTCTATGTTATCTCCAAAAGAATCCCGGAGAGCATCTGGGAATGTCTGCGCCCTAAACGCATCAACCGACCACCATCCAAATTTCTAGTGTAACTCAAAGTGAAATTTAGGCACTTTCTAAGTTGGCCACTACACTTAATAACAATGTGAAACAATTAACATTTTATCCTAAACTATCTTAAAAACACTTCAACAATCATGTAATATCTACCACGATTTTAGAATATAATACGCTAGGTTGTGGCATGGTTGCTCAGAAAGTGACTAAAGTGTGCCTGAGTTTTGAAATTTGTGTCTGTCTGTCGTATTGGCAAGATAGCACATTCTACCGAAGGTTTTTTGAAGCATTATTGATTATTGGAAAGGACAGAGAAATTCTGATTAGGTGTGTACGTAGGGAAATTATATAAAAGGTAGTTAAAACTACATTCCGTCACGAGCTTTGATGAAATACCCTTGCTTTCAATGCATTAATAAAAGATATAGATATTGCTGAAATTACAAAATTTGCAAACCGATCTTTTTCTTTGTTTATGTTTTCATATGTATTTATATTGAGATTCTGGCACTTTTTTAAAGCACAATTTTACTGTTTTAAAAACCATGATAGTATGCATTATATTATTTTTTCAAAGTAAAACATACTGTACAGTTATAATTACATATTTATCAGCATGACTCGTTTCAGCATGACTCACTCAAAATGTTTTATTTGAAATTCATTTCGTGGAAGTGAATGTAAGTCGTTTGTCAAACATTTCGTATATTGCGGAGAAGTAAATTATTTCAATTTATTGATACATGGATGACAAGGGGATGTCAGTACCATTACCATAGACCGTGTTCTTTGGTTTAAGTTCAATGACGGAACATATTTTTACATTTTTTTGAGATATACAATTTTTCTGTTACACAGTTATAACCTTCGGTTAGGAATGAAAACTAGCGCATAGGGTTTATTGAAACATTTTCTTTTTCCTTCTATTTAGTTGATGTAGAGATGAAAACGCACCATATGGCCGGCCTCACGCTTTGCGCATTGCATATCTTGCTGAACCTGTACAAAAAACTACACGAAATATAGATAAATAGTTTCATTTCTATGATAAATTTTTAACATTATAATAATATTATTATTAAAATCTGAACAATCTATAATGTTTTCCAACAATCACTCACGACAATCACAGAATAATGTTGAGTAAAAAATTACATAGTATCCTACTGCTAGACGAAAGTGAAATACGCCGAAGGTCATATCTTGGATGGTGTAAATAATCCAGGAACTATGACATGTACATTTTTGTGCAACAATCGCGTTCACACACACACACACACGCATGATGGGGACACACACTTTTAGAAAAATATTTTTCATTATATTTTGGTCGTGTTCTCTGCAGATGACAATCCGCGCAAAGTTTTTGACAAATCAGCCTCCACGCACGTAGGATGTGGGGTCTCTAGAGTGGCTGGACCAGGCTTCAGTCCCAAGGTACGGCCTCGCTGCTTTTGCTTTCAGTTATCTAGTGGCGCTCCACGCACCGCACCGAGGTTGTCTGTGAGAGACAGCCTCTGGGTGTCAAAGGCATTTGAACGTCGCTTTCCTCTGCCTCAGGAACAGATTCTCCGAGTTCATCTTTCGTCGGGTAATGCGTCGCAAGGGCTAAGGCTCTGATTTCTTATTACGGAAATTTTTGATAGTTGACACAAACTAGGAAGACAATTGGTAGATAACTATTGATTCATATATTTATAATAAATTCAACTTAGAGAATTTAATGTAAATTCTATTACAATTATTGTATTGTTTTTTCCAACCGTGCAATATATTTTAATTAGTATTAATAACTTTACTTTGCTAGATTTGTACTACATTTTGCTTTGGCAATATTTAATTTTATGTAAAAAATCCGATAGATGAAATTAATGTCGGAAAATAAACAAATCAGAACTCAAAGCCAAAGATAGACGGCAAGCAAAATCTTGCCCAGGCGTTCCAGAGGAAGTGGAAGACAAAGCGATATAATTCCTCACACAGAGCGAAGGTCACTTCAACAGTCAGCGATGAGTTAATTAACTAATAATAAGGAAATCGACCTAGAAAATTCTCCCGGGAACTTGGCGATTTTCCCGCGCGCCACGTGGTTGAAACGGCCGGCTCCTTTATTGCAACTGTTACGGCGTTCTCGTCCGGGCGGCGCCTCCGCGCCTCTCGCGGTGTCCAGCGGGGGGCGGGGGGGCGGGCGGAGCGCGGCGTGGCGGCGGCGTGGCGCGGCTGTGGCAAGGGGGCGGGGGCGGGGGCTTCCCGGCTCAGTGCACGTGCCCGGCGTGCTCCGCGTGCGAGTGGCCCGCGTGGCTGCCCAGCAAGTGCGTCGCCGCCGCCGCCGACGTGGTCGTGGTTGTGGTTGTGGTGGCCTCCGCCTCCACCGCCGTGGTTGTGCTCATGGCCAGCTGAAACAAAGAAAGGACGGGGCTGTCAGTGCGTTTAGAAACGGAAGGGCTGCTTCAGTGGTGCTGGCTGAACAACGGGAGGATCGTCGGATGGAAAGTACATGGTGAGGCTGTAATAATAATGATAATAATAATAATAATAATAATAATAATAATAACAACAATAATAAAAAATAATAATATGCCTTTATTAATATGGCGAGGCTGTACACAGAACAAAAGAACGCAAGATGTAAGTCTAGGAAACCAAACGATACGATGTGTATATTTAATTCTTTCAACAACTTTTGAATCCGCTATTTTAAGTCTTCGACCGAAAAAAGGAATTGTTCTCTTGAAACCGTAAAATAGCTGGCGGGAAATATACAGTATTTTTGGAAAAATAAACTATTTCATTCTATCACAATTTTTATCTCTTGTCTCTTATCGTACCTAAAGGAATTGACTTTCAAAGAAAAAACAAAATGGATTTTTCTTAGTTGATACTTTTTAATGGCCCACCTGATACTTCACATGATCAAGTTGGCGACGAAGCGAGTAACAAAACTTTGAGTCTGTGCAACGCATGATTTTCTACAAATTTTATTCTTTACTCAAGTACTTTGTTCTCTGTACTCGTGGTGCTTTTTTTGGTCCAGGGCAATGGCTGGAATGAAGAAAGAACTTAGCAGTGACATAAAGGAAATAATAGTAGCTGTTGGTTTATGAAGGTAAGCATGTTAGTTGGTTTATGAATTCTTTAAGAGAAAAATGAAAGCAGAGTAAATAAACCCCATTCGACACTCAAGTGCGGGTAAATAAGTTTAGATATAACCGTTCGATGAAGAACCTACCAATGAAAGCCAATAAAAGAAGCTAAATGACAGGGGCGAATGTTTCGTAATTTACCAGGTGAGGAAACCCCAACATTAAGTGTACTAAACAACAGCAAAATAATGGAACATCGATTACATCATGACCAAATGGGGATGCTTAGGTGTCTTGAAGGAAAATGTAAAGCAGGATGCAGAGAAAATGCAATTAGGGCCAAATTACGATTTCAAACAAGATAATGATCCCAAGCACACTGCTGATATCTTCAAACAATGGTTTATATGGAAGGTGTCCCAGCGCTCCCCTCCTTAATCCCCTCATCCAAACCCGATCGAACATTATGGGCTGATTTGAAGAAAAGGGTGCATTCAAGAAACCCTATCTCTGGCAAAAATTAAAACGTGTTGTGGCAGAAGAAATTCAAAAGCGAAACTGTTGATATGAGGTGTCAAAAACTTGTGCATTCAATGCAAAGGCGATGCACAGCAGATTTCATAGTTAAAGACTTATATCTGGGAATTAAATATTTTTTCTTCTGAATTCTTTAATATATGTAACATTTTTTGATAGTGTACAAACAATGCTGTTGCATGGTAATGCCACCACAGTTTTGTTAACATATTTATTTGTGTTTTATTTGAAAACAAATAAACTTTTTGTTGATTGTGTTTGTTTATTCAGCCTTGTAAAAAAAGACAAAAAGTATAAAATGGTGTAAACATTTAATTTTTAGTTATAAATGTAAATATACAAACAAGATTGTTAAACATATTTAAAACGTTTGGAAGCTCTATGATGCTTAAACGAAAACATGCATTTGCATGGAAATCCTCTCTCTAACTATAAGGAATACACGAATCTGATTCAATGGTCGCAGAGAAAGGACTGTTTTCTGTGTGGTGGGGACCTTGACTTTGTTTCATAGTGTTCATTATTTGAAAGGTAGAATTAATAAAGTTATTTTATGATTAGAGATAAGATTTTGTATTGCATCTCTTCTGCAGCAACGAATGCAGTTAATTTCTTAAAATATTTAGTTTTTGCATGCACTATTATGAATCGACATTCAACTGATCAACTGCTGAGGAGAATGAATTGCTTGATTACTATTGTTTGTGTGCTATTTTCACGAATGTTTCGAACAATTCCGTGTCTAAGAAAATATATATATTACGAACCTCTACAATATTTCAAGACATCCGTTCGTGTGAGACACCTGAGACTTCAAAAGGAGGGTGGGACTTCTCATCAACGTGTTCTCGAATGAACCGCGACCTTTCGTCTGCAAATGTTATTAAGAGTAACAAAGTAGTCAGCAACGCTACGTGGCTATAAGAGCAAAGGAATCTTACGATGAGTTTCATTCTCTGACAACAGCGTTATATAACATTATTAGTGAAGGAAATAAAGTGTTAAATTCTTTTGAAACTTTGTCAGGTGTTTTTCCGAGGTAAGCAAGCAAAAGTTTGTGAAAGAAATTTCTTTGGCAATGAAGGAAGTGATAAGGCTCTGTAATGTTCTATTGGATCCCAAGTTTTACTTGGAGGAGTGCTTTAGTGAACACTACACCGTTACGAGGTTGGATTGAATTACAAGCAGAGTACACTTCATAATAATAAGATGCAAGTTTATAGTTATGAAAAAACAGTTCTTATCCTGTTCGTTCTCTTGTTTACTGTGTTTGAACGGTAGCGGTATTCACACATGAGCACACACATATCACACAAAAGTAAACATACCCATACACATTTCTACAAACCGAACGCATTTGCTTAATGATGAACTTGTAGACCTACATTTTCATAACGTAACTAATGGTGACGTTTTGTGAATTTAACAATTTATATTTTATGTTATAGGTATTTAATAAACACATTTGTTTATTTATTTAACATTCATATTTGTTTCAAAATTGTAGGCGATAAGAGTATTAAGCTCTTTTCCTAAAAAAAATGTAAATGGGAATTCCAGAAACAATAAATTCCAAAGGACATCTCGGAGCTTCGCGCAGTTGCATGACCGACTAGTGAGGCTGTGTGTGGGAGCGACGCGACGGCGGCTCGCCTTGACCGCGGGCGGCACCCGTCTCGACATGGGGGGGGTTGGAGCGGGGAGGAGCGGGGCAGAGCAGGTGGGGCCGTCGTGCCGCGCGGCGCCGTGGGAGAAGCTGCGGCCGGTGGGTCTGGGAGCCCGGAAGGCCGCGGCGCCGCGCCGCGCCGTGTCGTGCCGTCCCGTGCCGTCCCGTGTCCCCGCTCCTCCCCGCAGCCGGCGAGAAAGCGAGAGTGGGCGGCAGAGCGGTGACGCAACGGGGAGAGTGACGGCCGCTCTGTGGGTCAAGATCGGCGCGGCGTCGCTCGGCGCGGCGCGGCGCGGCGGGCCGGCCCGCTCACCGCGCACGTGGACGCGCCGCATGCGAAAGGAATTCCAGCGTTCGCCGTGTTTCTCGACTTGCGCTCTCCCTCTGGAAATTAATCTCTCTATTCGACAATACCAATGCTGGATTATAGAGAATCCAAATACGCTAGTGTCGGAAATTACGTTGCTGCTGCTGCTGCCGTTGTTGTTGTTCTTGCTGTTATTTTGAAATCATAGGGCCTGTTTCACCGGTGCCTGATAAAGTCCCAGATACTAATCCTACAGTTATTTTATCCGTCAGATAAAAGTCCCTGATATTTATTTTGCGTTTCACTAAGGTCTTTCCTGTTAAACTATCTGATGGATATCTGTCTGATAAATAATGTTCCAATAATCTCCTATTCATGTGGTGAACCAAACAACGAATAAAAGTATTACGCGAGCTCTGTGTCAAAACGCGGCGAAATACAGCATTGCTTGATCGTATGCATGAAGATGATTATTAGACTACCAGATGACTAAGGGGCGGATTTTCATGACCTAAAACATCACAAAAAATGATCAATAATATGGTCTAAAAATGATCTAAACGCGAAGAAAAATAAAGTAAAAAATGTTAGCGGAAACCAGTTCGGATTAACAACTCAAGCCGTTGGATACGTTACTGATGTAATCGAGGCTGCTTCTTTTTGTTCAAGTGAACTCAGCTTTCAAACTTTTCCTTTAGACTGTTCTTTATCAGGAATCTCTGTCTTAAGTTATCCCGAAATCGGCTGAACGGACAAACGCGCTAATAGGCGCAACGAGAATTTTAGATTACATACAACGGCTGACATTACAATTTTTGATCGAAGAAATCGAATAGGCTACTCAAGAATTGTGTGGAGAACATTTTTTGTATCGAGTAAATTCTATTTGAAGCAAGTACCATTAAAATGATATAAAAATGGATATCAGCGGAAAATGCATTAAAATGACGGGAAAGTGTCAAAAATGACTTATTAGTCCAAATCGACGAAAAATACAATTTAAGGACGTTTTTTCACGATTTAAAAAATGGGAGGGTGGTGACACAATTCATTGAAATACATAGAGAACCATTTGGTCTGACAACGTTGTTTTGTGTGCTTGTTTTATTACTATTTTTATTAATCACGTGTTACGTATTGTCAAAAAATTACAGATACGAATTTGGCAGATACTCCTAATTAAGTTATACAATTTGAATGCTGATGGATCTTCCGGCAGCATATTCGTAATACTATGCCATTTGAAAAGTGAAATATTTAACATTAAGTCTTAGTTTTATACCATATTTCGATAATAAAGCTTCAATGAAAGTAGTTCCTACTGCTTCTGATAGACCTCAAAAGTATATTATAGGACACTGCCGGTACTTTAACACAGACTCCGTATATTGAATTTCATAGTAATGTACAGGACTTCGCAGTGTTAGACCAGTCATTGACTACTTGATATTGAACGTGAATGTCCACGGTCGTCAGTGATATATTCCTTGGCCCACTAAATCGGAATGTAGGACAAATCCTTGTTTTTTTTGTACCAGCATGTTACCTGACAAGACACCTTTCTCAGTCCCTGAAGTCCATATTCGATCTCGGTAACATTTAAGAGGAACATGATGGCCAATAGAACTAATTATCGCAATCTGACGCGTCGTGTTCTGGAAGACTACTTCGAGCTCGGTTCGGAATTCTGGAATTATTAAATACATTGGCGTTTTGCTGTACGAATTTTGTTTTGAAAATGCTCATTTTAGATCACCAATACTAGTAGCAACGCTATGAAATAGATTCTGAAGAAAGAAAATATAATAGAAATATCAGAAATAAGTTTCATAGTTTCAAAACATAATGATCTTTGAGTAATTATAAATCTATAAACCCTTTTACACTAGATAAAAGTGCAACGAAATAAATGCAAAGAGAATGCGTGTATGTATGATTAAATTTTTTTTAATGCATACATTTTTTTGCTAACTCATCGCTCATCAACGAGAATCTTCAACTGTCAATTTGGTTATTGACAAAAAAAAATCATTGTTCTAGCCTCCCAGGATATGCTATTACATTTTACCGTTTCCACTGCACATTATGCGTCTTTCATTGTCATAAGTGTAGTTCTACATTTAACTAAATGTTATTCCTTTTTTCATAAAAAAATGTCGTTGTTGTGATCTTATCACAGCGTATCCTACAAACACCTCTGTACGTCTTCTGAACACCGCGCTATTGTTTTGCATGTTGTTACCACTGCAATCTGATGCGGATAATGCGAAGGACACCTTCTTCCTTTCTGGGCGCGTCTTTTCCCGAATGTTTCGAAAGAACCTGCTGCACGCCACGGGACGAATCCGAAGAAAGCGCCTCGTCCGGCTC